GCGCCCTTCCCGCCCCCTCCTCGCCACGACCCAGCCCCCTTCCGCTTGGCCCATCTGCTCAGCTCCTTGCGCGGGTGGACCTGAGGCTCGAGGCCAGCTGACGCCCCACCCCTCGTTACCTGGAGGAGCCAGGAACCCCGCGCACCCCTGGCCACGGTCCCATGCTAGACACATGCTCTGCTTATTGCGCTAGCCACGTCGGCGCGGTAGCGCGCGGACCTATGGGGGAGGTTCCTCTGCGTGGCCCTGAGCGGCCACCTACTCACCTGATCCAGGCGCGGCCGCTCTGGGAGACAGCGACGTGCTAGCAGCGGGCAGCACTTTGGACCCGTTATGCCCACCCAGCTTCATCTCAACTACTCAAACCCTAGTCCGAACCACCACTGTCTCTAATTTAGGTTTCTGCAAGGATTTTCTATCGGCTTGCTGCTCCAGCCTTTGATATCAATCCATTTACAGAGACGATGATTTGACCCCTGCCAGCTGCTCCTTCCCACTTCGCCTGATTTCACTTTTCCGCTAAACCACCACCTTTGTTCACGCTGGACGTCTGTTGAGTCTCTCTTCCCTGCCTTAAGCCATTGCCCTGTTTTCCAGGCTTGAAATAACCCAGTTCACCCCACCTCCCAAAGCTGGCGTCTTCTTTTCATTAAGATCTTAAAATATCATCTCAGAGAGGGCTTCCCTGGCCACCCAATCTAAAATGGACACCCAGTCATCCGGTATCACAACGTTTTGTTAATTTTTTGCTTGGCACTTACCACTGATATTTTTCTGTTTGTTCACAATCTGCCCAACTCTAATGTCTTACTCAGAATATATCCTTAGCCCCTGGGGGGGGGGCTGTTATATAGTAAGTGGTACCTCTGTTAGCGTAGTGCCTAAGGCATTTGACTGCTAACCAGAAGGCTGGTGGCTCAAACACCAGCTGCTCCTCAAAAGGAAGGTTGAGCAATCTACTTCTGTAGGGATACCGCCTCAGAAGGTCAAGGAGGGGTCGCTATGAGTCAGATACAACTTGGCCGCAGTGAGTTTGGTTTTATATAGTAAGTAAGCGATGTTATTAAATGAATGCTCTTACCTGGAATTGCCAGCATTTAACACAACCCCTGGCACATTCTAGATGCTCCAAAAATAGATAAAGGACCACCTGGCAGTACCAAGCAATACAACATAATTGGGCAGGCAATTAATAGTGTATTGCTAAACGCAAACACGACGCACTGCCTACGAGTCTGATCCGACTCAATGGCAGTGCGTTGCATTTGCGTTTAGTAATGGGTATTAGATGTAGAACCAGTTTCATGGATGTGCAGCCTGTATAGTTTCACAGGTCCCCCGTAAGAAGGCCCCTGTGCTTAGTTTACAGTTCTGCTGTTGCCATTTTGAAATTCTTAATTTTTTAACAAGGGCGCAGCATTTTGTTTTTATACTAGTAGGAGCTCTAGTAGCATAGTGCCTAAGGCACTTGACTGCTAACCAGAAGGCTGGCCGTTCAAACCCACCAGCCACTCCTCAGAAGGAAGGTTGGGCAATCTACTT